AAAATTTGACTTACCCACACTTTATTGTATTTATACCTTAGAAAATTAATCAGAAAATGATTTTTAAAATACATTTTTCTTCATATTCATCTATATATAATAATTTAAATGTTATTTATAGACATACATTTACACACATTAAAAAATTCTGTACTTTCTTAAAAAACTTTATGAGTTCTTACAAACATATTCTATTGTCCAGTACCTTTTACATTTTCCCCCTCAAATAAAATATGCAACAGCAATGAACTATTAATTAGGGAAATCAGATATTCCATGTTTCATTCCATAAATCTTTTCTGACATCAAGGAGAATGTTTACTGTACTTGAATGTGATTAGTAATAAGATTTTATAAGTTCAACAATGATTACACAGTTGATTTTCACATTACAAAAGCTCATGTACAAAAATATTTCCTTTTACTTTTTTTTTTTTTTTATCCTCACTCAAGGACATATTTGCATTTATCTTCCGATAGAGCAGGAGGGAGAGAGGGAGGGAGAGAGAGAGAGAAACATCCATGTGAGAGAGATACATCGACTGGTTGCCACCAACACAACCCCAACCAGAGCTGGGAACAAACTGCAACTGAGGTACATGCCCTTAGCGGGAACTGAACCTGCGACTCTCTGGTCCGAGAGCCAATGCTCTAACTGCTGAGCCAAACTGGCCAGGGCCATTTCCTTTTACTTTTTTCCTAATATTCAGAATGCTGGCAAAGGTTTGATGGGGAGGAAGAAAGGGAGGACTAGATGAAAGAAGATGAGGGGATTAGCTAAAGAACATTAGTGTATAACCTATGGACACAGACAATGGTGTGGTGATGGCCAGAGGGAAGGAGGGAGTGGTGTGTGTGTGGGGGGGGGACTGGTAGAAATGGCAAAGGTGGGGGCGGGGAATGGGGACATCTGTAATATCATCAACAATAACAATAAAGTTATAAAAAGTAAAATAAAGTTTTATAATCTTTAAAAAAATCTGTATAACTTAATTTGCCAAAGAATAGCTTCTGCTGTCCTTAGTTTTATCATTTGTATAGTGTTGAAATCTACTGTTGTTCAATACATATTTATAGATTTACCAGAAATATGCCATTATCTTTTTTCATCTCATGGGTGACTTCAAAATTAAAAAGGAATAGAAAAGAAAAATAAATAAAAGAGGCTAAACAATGATACACGAGAGACAGTATAAAAGGAAGGTGTTTTTTATTTTGCAACCCGAAGTCACGGCAGTGAAAAGAGCACATTTTTATTTTTTCTTTTGCCAGCAACTCTCATATCTCTGAAGAATTACCTCCATATGGTCAGGAAAAGGAAATAGCAGTACACAAATATTCAACGAATATTATGCACACGAAACAAACACGGCTGTAAGATAGTATGTTTCTTGTAGTATTCTTTTAAAAAATTGCTTCAGTGAGATCCTTTTAAGTAAATTTTTATTTTGCCAGCATCCTTCATTCAGGTTCCTGGAGAAAGAAGATGTGGGTGGCAGTGGCTAGTTGAACTAGCAGCTACTAATGGCCAAAGAAGTTTAGACAGGTTATATTTATGCTAGCCTAATGAAATAAAAACCATTGAGTGCAGTCAGCATCGGACAGCCGGGGAGGGTGACTGGGTTTTATCTGATGGCCTACTGAGTAATATGACAAAGTTCCTCAGCACTTGTTGGCACATACATTGTCAAGTACTGAGCAAAGCTTTGAAACTGCGAAGATGGTTCAAAAGAATCTCCAGCTTTCAGTTTCTTGCAGACCAGTAGGGGATATAGACACATAACAAATAACTTCAGCAGGAATTTGAGGTGTTAAATGTTAACTTAAAATACCTTGCTTCCCCCACAGTCTGTTCTTTATCCACATGGTGACTCCATCCTTCTTTGCTCAAGTCATCTTCAACTCCTCCCTTTCTCTTGTATCTCTACACTCAAACTACGGGCAAATTCTGAGGACTCCACTGAACAACATATATAGAATCTAATCACTTCTCACCAACTCCACCTCTACTCTCTGGCCAAACTTATTATCATTCTTATGTAGATTATTAAATAAAAACCAATCTGTTCTCCCTGCTCCTACACTTGTGCCTTTTAAGTCTATTTTCAACACGGCAGGGCAGAATGATTACTCCTAAAAGCCTAATCGTGTCAGCTGTACAAAACCTGCCAATTGCTTCTCATTTCTCTTAGGAAAACTAAAGCCTTGAGAATGGCTGATAAGCCCCAACCAGACCTTCTCCCTTCTGAACTTCTCAGCCTCCCAGTCTCCCCAACCCCACTTCACTCTAACCACACCGGCTTCCTCGCGCCCCCAGAAGTCCACGTGTTCACTTCTGTCTCAGGTCCTTCCTCCCTCCCTCCCTTCCTTCCTTCCTTCTGTTCCCTCTTGTTTGTAGTGTGCTTTCCTTTCATTCTCTCATTACCTTTCTTTACTCAAAAGTCATTTTCTCTGTGATGCTTTCTTTGCACATCCTATTTAAAACTACAATCCTCTAAATTCCCCAACACCTTTTATTCGACTTCCTAACTTTATCTCTATAGCTCTTCCCACCATCTGATATATTAGTTTTGTTATGTGGATCCCCTGACTCCAATGTAATCTCCATGAGGGCAGGTCTTCTTTCGTTTCGTTTTACTCACTATTGTTTCTCTAGTACCTAGAAAAGTGTTCAACCCATAGCAGTCACTCAATAATTGTTGAATGAATGGCTCTCCTTTTTGAAATACTCTCTGATCCTCTGAGGCAAATGTTTTCAAGTGTCTAGAAAAAAATATCACATATATAAAACTTACTTTTTCACATCAGACTGTGTAACAGACTCTGAGTTTAACTATAGGGACAGGGCCAGCAACCTAATTACAGAGCCCAGTGCAAAACATAAATGTGACAGCCCTTGTTCCAAAATTATTGAAATTTCAAGATGGCAACTGCCAAGCATTAAACCAAGTGTGGGGCTCTTCTAGGTCAGCCTTGTGGAGGAACTATACATGTGTCTCTGCACTTTCATATCACAAGAGTTAGTAAGGATCCTGGCACAGAGTGGGGACTCCATAAATGCTTGTTGATTGAATGCATGTATTTTTTTTTTTTTTTTAGTTTTCTTTATTGATTTAGAGAGAGAGGAAGTGAGAAGGAGAGAGAGATAGAAACATTGATGAGAGAGAACATCGACTGGCTACCTCCTTCATGCCCTCTCCCCCCAACTGGGGATCAGGCCCACAACCTGGGCATGTGCCCTGACCAGGAATCAAACTGGCAACCTTTTGTTGCATGGGCTGATGCTCAACCACTAAAGCCACACAGGCCAGGCGGTGCATTTATTATTATCTAGAAGAATTCGAAAGTATTCCACTTACGTAGTACCATCACAAAATCACCCTGAATTTTAAAAACATGATTAAGATGAGGAGTCTGAAGCAAGTTAAATATGTTTTTGTAAATAATACAACAATTTGAAGAGTTAGTTGTTGCCCTAAATTTTAACTAAATTCAATGGTTCACTTTTTATCCAATTTGATTTTCAGAACTTATTGTTTTCGATTTCAAAAATTAAAAACAAAACAAGTTAAAGATAATCCTGATCTACTCTATCTTATCTTACCAAACAAGTCTTTATTTTATTAACGGTGTGAAGCAATGTCTTTTAAGACAATATTCCCCATCACCATAAAGGTGATAGATTCAATCAGTGATGCATATATTTTGTGAAGTCACTGTATTAACTTAAAATAGGAGATTTAGTATCTAGAAAACCCTTTTAGTTTCCTTCATGCAAAAACAAATATATGTAATGAAATCTATAATATTTATTTGATTACCAAGAAGTCCACTTTCAACTCCCAAGTAGGAGAGCAATTTTTGCTATCAGTGTTCTTGTGTCATATTTTAGAGGAAACAGGAATTTAAAATGAGCTTTAAATCTCAAAAGAATTTTCCTTAAAGACTATAAGGCATGTCTATCTATAGGTAACTCTTGAAAAAAACAATGGTTATTCTATTTTCTTTTTTGCTGGCTTACGAACATTCCATAGGTCTCTAAAATCTTGATGAAAAGATACATGACTGTATTAGTAAAGGAGAGTGAGCCTCCTATAGGGGTGGGAGCAATGTTGAATCTTCAGTTAGTCTAATGCTTTCTTCATTTTCTCAAGGTCAAGATGGCCTTTTCTATACAGGACAACAATGATATAACAATACTTCACATTTGTATAGTCATTTTTTTTATTTTTCAAAATACTTTTTTCCTTACAAAATCATTGTTAAGAAAATAGAGCATCTTAGGTTATTTTTATTCCCTTCAGAAAATTGTGCATGTACACACTGAACAAAATTTATAAAAAAAGAGAAGAAAATGAGGAGTAAGTAAACAGTACTGGAATTCAGTGATCATTTAGAATACATTTTTTTTTTTTTCTGGCACAGTGAAAAATACATTGTTATCATGATATTTTATTATTGCCACCAGAGTATATAAAAATCTCTAAAATGTTAAGTTCATTATTTATTTGTAAGCATTATCAGAAGAAATAAATGACTAATTCAGTATAGACATATCATGAAGATTTTCAATCTTTCTTTTAAATCTCCTGTACATCACCTTTGTTTTCTTAAAATTTGCAAATGTAAGGTACATGCTACAATTGCTTAATTAAGTAATATTTTCTGAACATCATACAAGTATTTTTTCTATATAAGAAACTCAAAACATATGGTAATACTTCACCACATTTTAAACTCGATGTGTGTTATCCTCTAAACTCAGAAAATAAGTCAAGGTAAAGTTCTAAACTGCAGAATATTTTGAAAAAAAAAATAAAATAAAAATGTCTTGGAGTGATGTATTATAATTTCAAAAATTCTATGTTGCACATAACGAATAACTTCAATACCTCCTAAACTTCATTAATGTAAATCAGAACTGTTCTTAGAATAAAATAATACATTGTAATTATTTTGAGAATTAACTGGTTTCTTCCGGACAAATTAAAATCCAAAGGTCACATATCTGCATATATTCTGTTCTTGGTATGTCTGAAGAAAGAGACAGTTAATGAAACTTGCAAAACCTGGAAGAAAAGGAAACAACAGAAGATCAAAATGTAATCAAGTAAGAATAATTTGTAATGCTAACACTAATAATTTGTAATCACCAAAATACATACTGTAAAGGGAAAAGTGGTCATATAATAGGGTGAGGTATTTCAGAGTAAGGTGCATATGGTTGGGAATGAGAAGTCTGCAGTGTGAGTCTTGTGGAGTAACCCAGTTGTCACCAAGTTCATTTATATTAGGGACTAAGGAATGAATATGTAGACTTTTGCATTTTAATTACATGGGCTACCATTGGGCTGCCTTGATAAACCTGCTGATCATTTTTTTGTTCATCATCTTTCTACCCATATCATCAGTTCTACAAAACTGCCTCTTTTGGGCATAGGATCATGAAAAGTGGTGTGTAAGGGTAGACGGTAAATGGAGCACAGATACCACGTCCACTCAATCGTCTCTTAAACTCCTCAGCATGAACACAATAGCATTTCAGAGCAACTACAATAATGCTTGAAAGAATGTCTTGGTTTACCACCATTCTGAGATTAAAACTACCTCCAGTTGAAGTGGATTTAGGAAACCTTTGGTCAATGCCTTTTGGGATCACTGTAACATTGAATTCAATATCCCACTTTGACCAAACTATGCATTATATATTCATTCCAATGTTGTAGTTTGCACTGTAATAACCTATCCACTCAGTTTTCTTGAATCCATAGCCCCCACTTGCTCTCATCAATTGGTAATGAGACTGGAAAATGAAGTCCTGCTTCTGAATCTCAGCTCTGCAGCTGGCATCCTGCAGGTCACGAAATATGTCTATTTTGCTTCCCACTGTACCTCTAACATCTAGTACAGTACCTGAACCACAGTAACTTGAATGAATGAATCAATGAATGAATGAGTCCATGTGTGAATAGATTTACTAATGTCAAACATCTACCTAGATTTCATAAGTTTGCCAACTTGCCATCACGGTGCTCTCATGCAAAGAGCAATAAAATTATATGATACTTGCCAGTATGGTCACTTATTAACAGGCTCCATTGACTTGTCTGATTTAGGAATATCCCCCCACCAGCTGGACTTATACCTCTCTTGGTGCTAAGAGTCTCAAGGACCTGGCTTCTATTGGATTAACTTGTCTGATTAAGTTTCCAGCTGTTTATTCCACAGTTTATTCTACATCGTCTATACTTAATATTTTAATCTTTAAACATAGGAACAAAAGCTTACCTCTGAAACCAAAAGTCCAAAGTTAATTCCAATTAATGTTAAAGCATTAACTTGATACCATGTGTTGATTTTATTTTCACAACCCTAAGGGGAAAAAAGTTACTTAGACTGACTTGGAGGTGGACATTATTTTGTGAGTGATTCTATTATCAAGAAAAAGAGACATAGATATTAGAAATTTACCAAAGTCTAAAAAGCAAGTCAATGTCTAACTGGAGACTGAATTTTTTAGTCCAGGGAGTGTCATATGATAGCAGGACACCTTTATTGTTACTTTTAAAGTTACTTAGATGTTGTTATGCAATTGAAATCAGAAATTTCTTGTTCTGAGTGGGATTTGACTTTCTGCAGACAACTGTCATCTAGCAGGGTATACACACTATCACTGAAAATGATTAGTACCCAAATAGAAGAAGCTTTAAAAAAGTCCTCTATTTATTTGCGAATAAATTGTGTATTTAAATGTACTTAAAAGATACATCTTAAAAAAGAATAATATTAGTATATAAACTATTCAAAGTATTAGAAGTTCTTGCGATGGAAATCCCCTATTCATCAATATTCCATAATTGTATATTGTAATCATATATTTACATAATTGTAAATAGTAGTGCTCCACATGAACCTGTACTCTTGCTTCTACCTGAATACTATTTTTGTCATTGCTGGGCTCCCCTCCCTTCAATTTTTGCCAATCCTCATAGCTCTTTAATACTGGTATGGCAACTCTCCTACCAATCTTCTACACCAGAGGGTTGCCAGTAGTTCCTCCTCCCTCTACAAGGATTTGGGAAGGAGGATTGAGGAGAAAGGTTGATGGTATCCCAAGTTCTAACAGCACTCAAATCACATACTCCCAGAAAGTTTGTTTATTTATTATATACCTGAGATAGTCACTTAAATGAGTTCAATTTAGTGAAGTCACTTAAGAACCTAATCACCATAAATAACACTGCTTTTATATAACAATTTGCTCAGAATTCTACATAGACTAGCAAAAAAAGCGGGGGAGGGGCACCGTAAATACTTGCAGCAGCTTTGACTTATCTTTACCTCTAGGTAAGTTGCATTCAGTGGCTCATCACAGAACCACTTTCTTAATGTAGAATTCGTGCAAGAACATGGTACCTGTTCTGAATTTTCTTTATTCTTATTCTTTATCCAATCTGTGTAATTGTATTGGCCACAACACTGTAACTGGGAAAAAGATTTTATAAATTTTGCCATAAAATATTCAAAATGCAGTTAATTATATAATTCTCATGCACATTAAAGTGTTGTTATGATATGTTTATTAATGTATTCTCCATTAAAATTTAGTGAATTAAGCAAATAAGTGCACATTTATTTAATCTATTACTTTGTTGCTGCTACTGTTTATGTTAACAAGGCGTAAGATCTCTACCTACATAAGTGGGCTATGTTCAGCTGAAATTGTTAGATCTAAATTTATTGATAGGAGCCCAGGACAAAAGATAGGTTTGGCTTATTAAAGCTACGAACCATGTTTAGAGCCAGAACTTAGAAGAATCACCTTAGCCATATCTTCTTCCTAAACATAGCAGTTATCTTTATATGTATCGCAAATATGATGCCATATGTGTTTAATACACATAAGGAGATTCGGGTTTATATCTACTTTCTTTAGGATTGTTGTGAGATGTTAATGTTCAAATTTGTAGTGTGTGTGAAAAACTGCAACAACAAAAAACACAAAAATAATGATAAGGAAAATAGTCACAGAGATGATCAAACATATAAAAAAAAAAAGTCTCATTTCCTATCCTACTGAGTTGGGAGTATGTGAAAGAATCAGCTTATATATTTGACTCCTAGACAATAAGAGAAAGTTGAAGTGAATATTTCATTGTTTTCTCAACTTGTTAATGAAAGTAATGACATCAATACTGACTATGTCACCCTGGCCAGTTTGTTTCAGTGGTTAGAGAATCAGTCTGCAGACCAGAGTCTTGGGTTTGATTCCAGTCAAGGGCACATACCTCGGTTGTGGTTCATCTCTGCCCTGGTCGGGTTGTGTGAGAGGCAACCAGTCGATGTGGCTCTATCATATAGATGTTTCTCTCTGTCTCTCTCTCTGTCTCTCTCTCTCTGTCTCTCTCTCTCTTTCTCTCTCTCTCGCCCTCCCTCCCTCTCAGCCTATCTGATGATGAATAGAAAAGTATCCTTGGGTGAGGAGTTGAAAAAAAAAGAAAAGAATACTGACTATGTCACAATATGCACCAACAATCTTGACAAGATCTTGGAAATATTGAATGACTAAAATACTGCTTTAGAGTTTGGAAGCTAAAATTCAGTTCAACAAATTAAACCTGTGTATACTATATCAATTATAGTCAGAGTTAGGGACTGTCAGCTGGATTCTCACTAATTATAGTGATTTCATAGGTGGAACTGTTTTCCTGCTTATTAGTTTATGGCCATAAGAAAATGGTTCAATAATTTATTAGTTGCAATGCAATCTGAAAATGCAATACATGTACAGATCACATACATCAGAGAAAACACATTCAGAATAAAAATCTTTATAATTACATTTAAGTTCTCCTAAAATGCACTTTCATTAGTAAATGTACTAAAAATAATTAACGGCTTCCAGGTGAGGCACCTGATGAAGCAGTTAAGAACACAAAATCTAGTGCTAGACTGTCAGGGATTGAATCTTAGCTCTGCCACTTATCAGCTGGATGACACTGGCTCAGTTACTGGATCTCTCTGTCCCTCATCTAAAAAGAGAATCACAGTTTGACCTCATTGGTTGGATTAAATGAATAAATATATGCAAAGCACTTACAAAAGGGCCTGGTGCTATGTAAATGTTTGCTATTTTCTTTATCAAGCATTTATTATGTCCCAGGTGTCAATCTATTCTTGTGAATTATGTGGTTGACCATACCAATTCCCTTCACTGCCCAGAAAGATCTAAACTGTTAAATAATAATTTTAACAACATTAGCTAATAAGTATTAGTTGCTTACTGTGCCCCAGATCCATGGCTTTCTGAATATTTTATATATTACTTCATTTATTCCTGCCAATGAGAGGTAGGAGTTATTCTGCCCATTTTGCTGATATGTAATGGAAAGCTAAGAAAATTACTCGTCCAGGGTCACAAAGCTACAGTGTGGAAATCCCGACAGTCAGGCTCAAAGGGGAACCATCACACCTCTGCTGCCAGCAGGGACTGTGCTCAGAGACCTCCCATGGGTGCAGGAGGGCAGAGGATCCTACTTGGCAGACCACCACCAACACTTTAATAGGGAAACCAGGTTAAAATGCACATCACTTAACCCAGAAAAGGAGCTATATGTTACAAAAGGAAGATAAACTCAGACCTGTGAATGGGTACAATGTGATTCTACCTTGTTTGTTTGGAAGAAATACAAGAACATCTCATTCCTATGTCCCTACCCTCCCTGTATGCCCTCTATCCTACAGTGGTCACTTTTGACATCAAATCTTAGTTTTATACTAATGTTATCTTACTGTTTTCTGTAAAGCATTCAGAAGAGTCCACTTAGGTATATCTTCAGGCACATCTTTAGATCCATACTGAGAAATGACTAAATCAATTTCATCATGCCATACTTGGTGAACCTTTCGAAAATTGTATCAAAAGTGAAATTTTGATGGAAACTTTCCCTATGTCTCCTCATAAAAGGGTATTCAAAGTCAGTGTACTGGTTTCTGCTTCTGTCTCAATGCCCCCTTCCATATAACTATTTTTAGCAATCTCAGTGAGTGCTGATGCATTTGGTCTTACTTAAGCATTCAAAAGTTCATGACTTTCTTAACTAATTTCTAATTTGGTCCTCAAAAATGCCAAAAGTTAGAAAGAACAAAGAGTATTCCCATTTTATGAAGAAGGAGACAGATACTCAGGGAATTTGATTATTTGCTTTGTTTACATGAATAAGGTAGAGGAGCTGAGACTTTTAAATATAGTTCATTTAAATTTTAGTCTAATTACTTTTCTTGTATTATGCTATCTTTGAATAATAAAAACTAAATAACTCATGGGAATACTATAATAATTAAGACATCTGTACAAGTTAAACCCTTGTGCAGTTACTTATATGTCTATGCTTTAATATATTTAAGATTAGAATAACATAAATATTATTTAGAGCTGTAAATTATCTAACTTATTCTCCAAGTTAATTTTTATTTAGAATAGAAAGTGATGTTTTCCCATTTTATACTGCTGTGGGGAGAGGCCAGGCTCATGTCCTCATTTCCCTGCGAAGCATTATTTGGGAAGGCCAGAGCACTTATGAATCGCACCTTAGTACATAAGAGTAAACTGAGTTTACTAAATAATCTGTGTGACTACTATATAAATAAAATCCCCTCACACATATTCAATTTGACAAGCATCCATGGAAGCCCTAGTGCATCTCAAACACTGAATTAAGTACTGCAAATGGCATGAAAGATTTAGGGGCTCATAGGAGCTTAATCGACTTTGAATGCAGAATCAAATCAGTGTAAACAAAGTTGTTATTCTCTGGGATGAGCTAACAGGGGTTCAGCCCAGGCTCTGTGATTTGGCCATAACCTATTTATTTTTTAATTTTTTATTTATTTATTTTTTTGTTACAGATGTTTCTCATTTTTCCCTCATTGACACCCCCCCCACCCCCACCCCATCCCCAGCTTTGTTGTCTATGTTCATTGGTCATGCATACATGCAGGTAAGTTCTGGCCGTGATCTATTTAAGCAAGTATTTCTCCTCTCTCAGCCTCAGTTTCCTGTTCTAGAATGTAGGACTAGTAAAACACCTGTAGGAGGATAAATAATATAATGCCTAGAAAGTGCTTATCACAGTCTCTGGCAAATGGTAGTGATTATGAAATGATTCTTATTATTCTTAAAGTAGATAGAGAGGATTATGTGAATAATACTTAAGTAAATACGGGTGACACTGATAAACTATATTTAAGTGTTACGTTTTCTTAAGTATTACATTCAGGTTTTAGCACTAGTTCCAAAAGTTAGGTGATGGGTTGGGACCGGAAAATAGGCCCTGGGTGGTTAGATACCCAGGATAGATGCTAAGTACAAGAGAGCAAATAAAGTTGGAGGGAAGTTGTGTTATAGAGGAAGATTTTGTTAGTGTTTGACCATTACTTAGGTGTCTACCTACAGAGAGAATCTGAATGCTAGGAAGCAGAGGAATTAATCAGGGGCTCATTTAAAATTAATAAAGGGAAGGAAGAGGGCTCTTAAGTAACTACTCTATGACAGGAAGTTTGAACATTGTCAGGAAATGATAACTCTGTAACATAAGTAGGCATTAGCCATAGGATACAAATGAAGACCATGCTTCAGGCTGTCAAGCATCTTCAGGTATGTTAAGCATACCCAAACCTGTATGACTTCAAGTCCACACTCCTTTCACTGATGGACAATCTCCCATGATACAAAGACAGACAATGACTAAAACAGTGACTTTTTTGAAGGATTAAAAATTGTCCTGGCTGGTTTGGCTCAGCGGTTAGAGCGTCGGCCTGCGGTCCCGAGAGACCCGGGTTCAGTTCCCCCTAAGGGTACGTACCTCGGTTGCAGTTTGTCCCCGGCCCTGGATGGTTGTGCGGGTGGCAACCACTCGATGTGTCCCTTCACATCGATGTTTCTCTCTCTCTCTGTTTCTCTCTCTTCCTCCCACTCTACCTGAACAAAAAAATGGAAAAACCTCCTCGGGTGAGGATGATAAAAAAAAAAATAACCATAGGCTGCAATAGGTAGGTTTTGTTATGAAAGGTTTCTTCAGACAATTTTTAGTATGTGCTACTTTGAACTTACCTAATTAGTTTTACTATATCATTCATGACCATACCTGTGCACAATACGTGAATTATTCAGTTCATCTTAATGAAATTGTTAAATTTCAAATTAGTACAAGTTTAAAGTCTTTCTTTATAGAAGAGAATAAAGTTATTGGATGAGCAGTGGTAGCCAGCATGGACTAGGGACAATTTTGGATTTCCCATGCTTAGCATCTTCTCCTCTACCCTCACATTCATTATTGTCTGCAACATGCTCAATCTCTGCAAACAGAGAAAAGACAAGTTTTCCAACCCACCCTTCCTATCGAACACCTGGACCCTTCCTATATAGAATTCTAGTACTTTCCCCCCAAAAGACAGTTATTGTTTGCTTTTAATATAGGTGTATAGGTCTCAATAATCTAAGACCAATTTTCTTTAGATGTCAAATAAAAGTATGATCTTTCCGTACCTCCTCCTTCTTTGTGAAGATGAGTACTGAGAGAGCAACCTGAATACCAAAGGCCCCCATTAACAGTACCGCATACTACAACAGAAGAAAAACACAGATGACAACTATGCTTCTAATACATTTTTTAATGCTACAGTGATGGGAAAGTGTACATCCTATGAAATATTCAGTCTTAAAACATACATAGCTATTGCTGAAGTTTCCTGTTCTCTTATACAAGAGCAAAATTATTAAAACAGAAAAAGCAAATGAAAAAAATAACAATGAACATTTGGATAAGAGTAAGACAGAAGGAAGGGATAGTATTTCCTGAGAACCCTCAAAGATTACGTGGTTTAATAGAGATTGTTATTGTTATTGTCCTTATTCAGATCTAAAACTGTCAGAGAAGGAAATTCAATTAGTCAATTCCCTTGACCAGTGTAGACTGAAAATCAGTGTGTAGAGTGACCACCCAGACTTTCAGTGCTACACAAAAGGTAAATACTATCTCTGCATTCTTCCTGGCAAGACACAATGATTGCAGTTCAATTTTCTATCTGTCTTCTTGAAGGAGAGTGTCCGTGAGTCAAAATTAATTAGCTTTAAAAGGAATGTTAAAAAACTATATTCCATCCAAATGTGTGAATTGTGATCCATAGCTACTACATGTATGATAAATGACTCATGTTAGGTTTATATTCCTGATCATAATTTATCATTTCATGTTATATGCCTTGGGAGAGACAGAGTACTAGCCAGAGTCTAGAGTCTGCCCCTCTCAGCAGTTATATTTCACTTTGTTAAATAAATAATAAGTTGTGATCTCAGTTATAAGTTAGCTTCCTACATGGCATACCCACAAGCAGAAAATGCGCTGAGTATAGGATATGTGTTTTTTGTTTTTTTTTGCTTGCTAAGCTACAATGCTCATTGACTCTAATATACTTTATTCTGATATTAGTTTTATATTCTTAATTGGTCAATTGTAGTTCACCTTATAAGATGGATTACTATTGACTTTGTGCTAAAAATTAATATCTAAGTGTGCAAGCTCTAAGGTAGAGAGTTGATCTATGAGAAAATCTCCCTCAAAATTCTATCTAGAACAGTTTCTTGGAAGGGGGAGCTTTATTTGCCTAAGGGCACACTGTACTGCATTGTTGTGATAACATAAATCATTCAGCTCATTTATGTGATTTGGACACTCAAAATCAAAGATACACATTTAGGTTATTGAAGTGAAATGCATACCAGAATTAGGAGCCATCTGATTTCATTGTGAATTCCCAAATAACCCAAGAGAAAAAGAAGAAGAATAGCTGATCCAGTTCCAATCAAAATTCCAAAAACATATACTATCAAGGGATTATTTTCATCTGTGGAAATCATAAAATAACTTATTATTAAGTGATATTTGTTTTCTGTGTACTAATAAATGCAGCAACCCAATTTTTCTCTAAGCAGCTCTTGCCAAACCACTAAGATTCTTTCTCTCTCTCTTTTAAAACTTTATTCTAGACCCTCGTACTTGTAAAAACAACTTTTCTTCCTTTAATGATATGTTGGAGAATTTCTTCAGTTTCAGAAGATCTCTACCTTTGCCTTATTTTCACTGTCTTCCATAAGAGAAGACAATCTTTTTCTAAGGTGAACTCTTCTATAACTACTGTACATTCAAACATGTATGTATTTATTCATTCATCAGAACATATTTAAGAACGTAAAGTGTGCAGGTTAAGTTTTCCCGAGTTTATTGCTCATATGGCCCCATTAAAGCTAAATTTTATTCTCTCTATATCTTGATTGAGCTCTCTGGACTAGAAGAATAAACACACACACACACACACACACACACACACACTAGATGGTTAAATGCTTAATGCTATGGCACAGCTGTAGAACACTAAGACTCAATATTGATACTTGTTTCAAAGCAGGAAGAACAAACATATTAAATACCCCCTAGGTTCTGTGGGAGAGGCAATGGTGTGCTGGAGTATTTGCTCTGCCTCACAAAAGGCAGTTGTTGCCCTGGTCAGGTGGCTCAGTTGGTTGGAGCATCATCTGTACATCAAAAAGTTTGTGGGTTTGATTCCCGGTCAGGGCACATACCCAGGTTGGGGGCTTGATCCTCAGTCTCGTGCATGTGAGAGGCAATCGATTGATGTTTCTCTCACTCTCTCACTCCCTCCCTTCCTCTATCAATGAACATATCCTTGGGTGAGGATTAAAAAGAAGGTAACTGTTAATTTTTTGCAAAATATAAAAGCCAATTAAATTCACATTGGCACCTTAAAACTGGAACATGGTGGAAATAGTTAAACCATAGAAATCAACAAATACCATAAACTCTCCATCCCCAAACCTGTTAAACATTTACCAGCACACTTCTGGGTATAAGAGCATCTTATCCAGTAGGCAGAGAAGGTTGGAGGGGGAAATGTTAATTAATGGAGAAGGTAACACATGAGTTTAGGCTTTAAATGATCATTAGAAATATCTTTGGTAGCACAATAGAAGCATCTGGAGACCCAGAACCGCACATTGGGTGTCGGAAGCTCTGCTTCGCTGGTGCTTACAGTTCGAGGCTGGTGTGACTGGAAAAGTTTGCAGGGGCCAGATGATGGGCATTTGTATGGTGTTTCCTAGTCCTCTTCACTGGAATTAAATTCCATGAGGACAAGACCTTTATCTTTCCTGTATACTTGTATCCTCAGCTCACGGGATAGGACTCAACATGTAGAAGATGTTCTATACACACATTTGTCATTTAAATAAATAATGGTATTGGGGAGCCAGAGAAAGGCTTTTAATGTTACATGGTTAAATTTACCTTTTAAATTAATTACTTCAGTGGCATTTGGAAGATGGCCAAGGAAGACCAGAGCATAGCATACTGCGATTTGGTAAAGTAAGGACAATGTAAAGATCTTAAGTTTTTAAATAAAGTTAAATGCAGTCTGTTATTTTATTCATGTTTAGACAATGTTTTAAATATATATTTAAATAAATATATAAAAATGAAAATATCATATAAATATTTATGTATTAATAAATACTGGAGACATGCAAAAAATATCTGAACAAACATACTTTGGAAAGTATGGAGATGCATTTGGGCTTTGCAAAAATCAGAGGTAGATGATGTCTCTTCTCTCTGCCTCTCTCTGGAATCTGACTCCTCTAATTTATTCCTCCAGACCAGCTGCTGACCTCAAATCATTAGGTTAAATTTGGCTGCTGACAGATTCTGTGTTTCATAATCTTGGCTACCTGGGGTGGGACTAATCCTAGAGTCAATTAACCTCAAATTCAAAATTTTATGCAAAATATGTGTATTGAGATAAAATTGGTATAAAACAGTGTGTAAGTTTAAAGTATACAAGGTGTTGATTTGGTACATTTATGTATTACAACATGATTACTGTAGAAGCATTAGCCTGTCACATATTTATCAGAATAGTTAAGATTTAGTCTCTTAGTAACTTTGAAGTTTATAATACAGTGTTATTGACTATAATTACTATGTTGTGCACAAAATCACCAGTACTTATTCATCTATTAATTATAAGTTTATACCCTTAAACAATATATTTCCAATTCCCCCAGCCCCTACCCCTGATAACTACCATTCTACTCTATTTTTACAACCATTTTTTTAGATTCCACATTTAAGTGATATAAAGTATTTGTCCTTCTCTGTCTTACAGCACTTAGCATAATACTTTCATGGCCCATCAATGATGTCACAAATGACAGAATCTCCTTTTTTATTGCTGAGTAATATTCCTCTAGATATGTAAATATATCCCATCTTTATCTATTTAGCCATTGTTGGACATTTAGGTTGTTTGCATAAGAAACATATTTTATTTCTAACCATGTGATGAGAATAGATGATAACTGTGTTTTAAAAGAGATTATTTAATTTGGGCAGTAAAGCTATGTTGATCTCCATCATCGTTTCAAGTCTACAGATCTGTAAAGGTCCAGAGTTAGTAGAATAAACACAATCTTTCATTTCTCCCATTCCTAGCTTTCTCTCCCCAAATTTTCTCTCTTTTATGGTCTTGGATTTAAGTCCTGTCATTTAAAAATGTGTTTCTAAAACCAATGACAAAGACCTTCAGAGGAAAAAATTGAATTTTAGAGAAATACTGCCACCTGCTGAATAAATCATGTATACAATTGTTTAAAATGGAATGCCTTGCTTCATTCAGAGAGGAAGGAAAATAGATACATACCTAGAGCAGGGAAAAAATTATTTCTATCTAATAAAAGCCATGCACCAAATCCCATGAGTAAAAGTCCAAGAACCTACAAAAAAGAGTCAATGTGATTTTTAGTAATTGCCAATAAAAATGCATTACATTTTTCTAGACTAAATAATTTTGAAGATTCTTACCAAGAAAGCTCCATTAATGAGACTAAGAAAGTATTTTAAAATTAGTGATTTGCTTCTCCTTAACATTCTTTTTCCCCCCAGATATTGTTGATTCTGAAAAGATAAGCACAACTTTTATACACTCACCATAGTAACAACTTTAAATAATTGTGCCTATTAATGTTAATATGTGCATTTTTCTTCTCATACCAGTGGTCACTATAACATTTCCCTCTGCCTGCTCAAATATAAGAACATACTGAAGTTTATTGAAACTGTACCTGTCCTAGAACGGTAGAGATCTGCATTTTTTGGGCTAGGCAGTTGAGACCACGAGGGAATTTATATAACATGTCAATAGCTGCTTTCCTCAACTTTTTGCAGTTTTCAGAGAGTAAAATATGTTACACAGTTTCCAGTCTTAACACTCTTTTCTCCTTACTGGAAAGCTTTCCTTCACTTCTTTATGCCCCTCCTCTTCCCCAGAATAAAGTCAGTTCCTCTTGAGGTCTCTCTGTTGCCTCACCTCAATTTTTGCCTATTTTCTCCTTAACATGTCTTTCTTCCTATGTTGTCTCTGAGGCCTTTAAATAAAGAGAATAGGTCTTGTAAGTCTAGCACAGACTACGTACTTAACAGATATGTGTTGAATGAATGAATGGGATTAAATTATTTAATTAGCCTGTTATTTAGGGTACACAGTATAAGGAATAGAACTAACTAAAAATTGTTTTAATTAAGTATTATTTCCCCTAGAATCAATTTTCCTAAAACTTCTATGGAAAAACCAACACCCCATAGTTTTTAAAAATATGTTTTTACTGATTTTTTTTTTTTTAGAGAGAGAGAGGGAGAGAGATAGAAACATTGATTGGCTACTTCCTGCACGTCCCCCACTGGGGATCGAGCCTGCAACCTGGGCATGTGCCCTGACCTGCAATCCAACTGGAACCTCTCAGTCCATGGGACGATGCTCAAGTCCACTGAGCCACACCGGCCGGGCCCATTGTTTTTTGTTGCTTTACTACAAATCAATGTTTTACATTTTCCTGGGTGTGTTTCTGGATTTTCGTTTTTCCTTCATTGTTTTAATTCTAGCTAGCACCAAACTTTGTAGTTTACAAAGTTTGAATACATGCAGTGACTACTTGATATGATGTAAGATTTAATAACACTACTTTGAAGCTATTTTTGCCTAGTTAGGAAGAAACTAATCTATGTGCTAAAATGAAAGATGCACTGGAATTGGAGACATAAGAGATGTCCAGGTTAGAGTTTATATAGTTCCCTCCCTACGTTGACTGGGGGCCACATTCCTCCTAAAAACTCCCAAGGTTCTTCTTCCTAGTTTAAGTAGTTTCTCTAGGCTTTCTTTTCCATCCTCTACTTTGAATTCTATTGCTATCATTTGGTTTCTCCAATTTCTGTCCTTTAGTCTTATTCCTCCTGGATTCCTCCAGTGCCTGGCCTGTTTGGATGGAATCCTCAGTTAGAAAGACTGCCTGATTTTTATTTCAGTTTTTTCTGAAACACAAACAGAAAGAATATATGCATTCCTATATTCATAGCAGCACTATTTACAATACCTAAGATCTGGAAACAGCCCAAATGCCCATCAGTGGATGAGTGGATAAAAAAGCGGTGGTACATCTACACAAGGGAATACTATGCAGCTATAAAAAAAAGAATGATCTCTTACCCTTTGAGACAGCATGGAGAGACCTGAAGAGTATTATGCTAAGTGAAATAAGCCAGTCAGAGAAAGACAAGTACTACATGATCTAACTTGTATGTGGAATATAATGAACAAAATAAACTGACGAACAAAATAGATCCAGAAACATGGAAGCATGGGACAGGCTGATGAATCTCAGAGGGAAGGAGGGAAGGCTATTGGGAAGAGATTAACCAAATCACTTATATGCATATATGCATAAACCATGGACAAAGACAATAGTGTGGTGAAGGCCTGGGAGAGGCGGGTGTGGGGTGCAGGGGGTCAATGGGGGATAAAAGGGAGTCATATGTAATACTTTCAACAATAAAGATAAATTAAAAAATAAATAAAAAGAAATTAGGCCCAAAGTCCTGGTTTCTGTTTGCAAATAAGAAAGAGAAAGAACACTAATTAATGAAATCTTTCTGTGGTAACTCTGATGTAAAATGCTGAAGGCATATACTTGACTGTTGATTTGGTAATAATTAGCATGTTAGAATCAAAGCTAAAATGATTTATCAAAGGAACCAAATATAAAAATAAAAAAGTTTATGTTTCTCCCAGCCCAAGGTGAGTAATGAGTTCTCTTCTAGAATATCATCTGAGCCTTGATCCAAAATTTGCTCATGGTGTCATATTTTACAGCCAGCAGAAAAGAAAAGATGAGTCAATTCAGATAAACTTCTCTTAAACAAGTTAGGTAAAAGCTGCACATTTCTCTTCTACTCATATTCCTTTGGCACAGTTATTTGGCCATGCACAGCTGGAAGTGGAGACAACTATGTATCCAAGATGAAGGGGATACACTTGGATTCATCCAAGTGAATTGGGGTGGAGAGCCAAACAAAATGCCTAATAGGAAAGGGCATTATGAAAGATAATTAGAAGGAGAAAAAGAGGGTTTGGAACAGCATGAATTTGCTTTATTATGGAAAAGAATCAAAGATGATCAGAAGGATTCCTATAGGATCAGAAAATAAAAGAATAATGATAATCACTGGAACTAGGAAGACTGGGAAAAATTGTTTGAAAAAATTGTAAATTTCAAACATTTAATGTTTAGTAATTGAGTTTGAATTGGTAGATGTCTGTAGTTAAGCACTGGAAATGGAGTGCAGATAAGCAGATAGCATAAGCTAAGCAAACCTAGGGGTCATTCATAGAGATGATGTCATGGGAATGAATGAAAGAGAAGAGGTAACTAGAACCCAGCAGTGTGGTTCAGTTGGTTGAGTGTTGTCCAGTGCACCAAGAGGTCTATAGTTCAATTCCCAATCAGGGCAATGCCTGGTGCTAGTTTGCTATTACTCTCAGAAACACCAATGAAGAAAGAGACTCAGAAAGGTAAAATAAGTTGCTTGATATCACCCAGTTAATATGTGGCAGAGCTGAGACTTAAACCCAGAGATATAAACCATATAAGTCATTATCTATAAATACCCATTATAACAACACATAATGTGTTGTGAACATTAAATGAGATTATGTTTGTAAAGCATTTAACTCAGTGCCTGGCTAAATGCTAGCTAGTGATCTCATACCACATCCTAGTATAAAAATACCAAGGTTTACAGTGAGATGGGCATGAGGACGGGACATGGGATGGGGACAGGGGGGAAGTGATGGACTCTGAAGTAGGAGTCATGGCAGCTGCAGGGAGAAAGCACAAAGAGGGTTAACAAGGGAACCTGAGGTTTGCGATAGTCTTTAAGTGGAAAAAGAGAAGCAGAGGCCTAAGAATCCAACACTGTGGGTTGTCTACTAAAAATATTATGGCTTAATAATCATCCTTAAGAAAATGAAAAAAACAAGCAAATACCTGCTATGCAGCTATTTGAGTACTACAATTATATTCCAGAGTATTTAAATTACATCACTTTCCTATGAAGAATAAGTCATCTGTTAAAGATTACTTATTAATCTAAAGTCCTATTAAAGTCCACCATCAATTATTATTTTCAAACAAATATTATTCTTGCCAGATATCTGAGGAATAAACAGTTTTCTTTTATCTTTTCCTAGTGAAATATGTTGTGTTAGGTCAACAGGATATAAACCAAGCAGATGTGTGGATGATTTTCAAATAAGAGCACAATTTAATGGAAAAAAAACAAACAAACACCAAAACACATTATTTATAAAATGAAAAAAATCTACTCAGGTTAAAAGGTCATAGTCAATTTAATTTTTTTAAAAAAGGTTATAGGCAAACAAACACAATTTCAAGCTATAATTTCTAGGAAGATTACAATTAAATAGATTTCTGCTAAACACTGCATTATTAAATAATAATGTCAAGTTAAATTGATTTATAATCTATAACTATTTGAGATGTTGTATTTTGTTCCTTAATTATTAATATTAATTAGTGATCATTAAGATATGGCTAATTGATATAATTATCAGTTTTCTACTAAAGTAAAAAATAACATGAGAATATAAGAGATGTAGTAACACTCATCATGAATTAATTTATCTTCAGAAGAACTTTCAATAATTTTATTTTTGCCTTCAATTTGTTTGACAAGGTAAGTTTTAAGAAAGAAAGCATCTAGACATCACCTTCAAATTAGCTGATTACTAAACTAGCTGTTAAAAATTAGTCTTAGGAATTAATTGATTTTTAGGAAAAGCCTGAATAATTTCATAATTACAAATAAAATTAAGCTTAAAAGTTTTACATGTTAATTTCAACATAATATGGTAGGTAGCCTCACCACTTTAAATGAAGAGTTTGAATAGTCTATAAGTCAGTAACAAAAGTAAACATTTTTTTAAAAGAACATTTTAGCATGGACTTTGATAATAAAAATATTTTAAATTTAATTAGATCTAAATTCAGGAGTAGTTTATTTTTGAAAATCATTTTCTTTCTTAAACGAGGCACTGATGTTTTTTAAATATCAAAAGCCTACCGATTTATTTCTGTATATTATTAGTTCTCATGTTGATGCAATGTGAGTTTATCGTTACTAAGCAATACAGTCTATAAGCTCAATGAAATGTTTGCTTTTAGCATACTGTATGTCAGATATCTTTTGCAATTATGAGTGGCCACTTCCTCTTGGAATTTAATTCCTCATTTGAAAACTTAAAGGAATTAAAATCGAAGTATTTGTTACCACCTAAAATGAAATTTCACATCTGCACACTATATATTTGCTTCACACCCACCCCCAAAAAACTTTGATCAAATTTTAAGTAAAAATTCAATATCATGATATATACTTAAATTTCGGATTTCACCATCAATATTTTACAGTAAAACATATTCCAGAAAATAATTTTTCTAATTTCTCACCCCACTCACTCATTCACTTAGAGGTTTTTTTTGATGGGTATTGAATGATAACTGGCTTTTTTTTTTTTT